TTGAATGAATTGGTACAGGAGACTGTTTCCTGAACATAACACTGAGATTGACAATTAATAAATGGGACCTCCTGAAACTGAGAAGCTTCTGTAAGGCAAAGGACATAGTCAACAAGACAAAACAAAAAGGCAGCACACAGATTGTGAAAAGATATTCACTAACACCACATCTGACAGAGGCCTGATCTTCAAAATTTACAAAGAACTCAAGAAGCAAATCTCCAAAACACCAAAGGATCCAATTAAAAAGTAGAGTACAGAACTAGATAGATAATTCTCAATAGAGAAGTCTAAAATGGCTGAGAGACACTTAAGAAAGTGCTAAACATCCTTAGCCATTAGGGAAATACAAATCAAAACAACTCTGAGATACTATCTTACTCCTGTTAGAATGTCTAAAATGAAAAATACCAATGACAGTTTATGCTGGAGAGGATGTGGAGAAGTGGGAACATTCTTCCACTGATGGTGGGAGTGCCAACTGGTACAACCACTTTGGAGATCAGTATGGAGATTCTTCAGAAAAATGAGAATCAGTCTACCACAAGATCTAGCAATTCCACTCTTAGGCATATACCCAAATGATGTGCATTCATACAACGAGGACATCTGTTCCACTGTGTTCATAGCAGCATTATTTGTAATAGCCAGAACCTGGAAGCAACCTAGATGCCCCTCAACTGAAGAGTAGATAGAAAAAATGTGGTACATTTACACAATGGAGTACTACTCAGCAGAAAAAAAATGGTATCTTGAAATTTGCAGGCAAATGAAAGGCACTAGAAGAAACCATCCTGAGTGAGGTAACCCAGTCACAAAAAGACAAACATGGTATGTACTCACTCATATAGGGATTTTAGACATGAATCAGGGGATTGTCAGCCTACAATCCCACCACCAGAGTCTGGGAAACAGAGAGGGCCCCAAGAGAGATATGCATGGTACCCCAGAGAAGGGAAATGGATCTCCTGAGTGAACTAGTTCCATGGGGGGAGGGGACAGGGAGCTGGGGAAAAGTGAGGGGAAGAAGAGAAGGGGAGAGGAGGACATGGGGAAGCAGGAAGGTTGAGTTGGGGGAAGAATAGAGGAGAGCAGGATGAGAGATACCATAATAGAGGGAGTCATTATATTTGAGGAGAGACCTGGCACTAGTGAGATTTCCAGAGATCTACAAGGATGACACCACCTGGCAATCTAAACAATATCACAGAGGCTACCTTAAATTCCCTTCCCCGATAATGAGATTGATGACTACTTTGTATGCCATCCTAGAGTTTTCATCCATGACTGATGGAAGCAGAGGCAGACACCCACAGCTAAACACTCAACTGAACTCCTGGAAACCAGTTGCAGAGAGGGAGGAGTGATGAGCAAAGGTGTCTGTTGATCTGCTTGTGACTAGGAGCTTCTAGCAAAAACACTTCTTGTCCCCTCCTCCCAGTAAGGCCTGCATGTAAGTTCCTGTTTTCTGTCCATCCTTATTGTCTAAATGCTAATTCCTGTTTTTGGCCCATCCTTTGCCAGAGGGCCCTGGGAATGTAGGCTTCTGACCTTGGTTTTTTTCCACCATGCCTGCCATTGGAATATAAGGCTCCACTCTTGTAAAAATAAATGCCATTCTCCTTGTAAGAATGAGCCACTGTCTTTGTCTTCATTACACCCTTGGCCTCCAATTGTTGTGAAGTGTTATAGCACCGGAAAACCGTGAACAGCAGCTCGCTACACAAAGGGGTCATGACCAGGCAGGTGAAATCCACAGAAACAGCTGACCTGAACAAGAGTGAGTTCATGGACCCCAGACTGATGGCTGAGAGGCCCACATGGGACTGATACAGACCCCCTAAATTTGGGTGTCAGTGAGGAGGCCTAGGCAATCTATGGGGCTTTGGGTACTAGATCAGTATTTATCCCTGGCATATGAATGGATTTTGGGAGCCCATTCCACATGGAGGGATGCTCTCTCAGCCTGGGCACATGGGAGAGGGCCTAGGCCCTGCCCGGGATGATATGACAGACTTTGGAGATCCCCCATGGAGGGCCTCACCCTCCCTGGAGAGTGGAGTGGGGATTGGGTAGGAAGGTGGGGGGAGATGGGGGTGGGGAAAGAGGGGAGGGAGAGGGAGCTGGGATTGACAGGTGAAGCAAGTTTGTTTCTAATTTAAAAAAAAGAAAAGAAAAAGAAAATACATGGCTTTCCTTCTCCTACCCCTGTCATCAGTAGACTTGTGTTTTTCTTGGTGTTGCACATAACTTGGAATTCTCACTCACTCTCATTGGCTTATCATTGCCCTTGTTTGCTTGTTCCAGTTCCTTCGCCATGCTTAAAGGCTCCAGTGTTCTGTTCTCTCCTCGACTGGCTCTTTTGGTGAGACTTTCCCCAGAGTTTTTTTTTAATCTGATTTATTATACTCTCTATTTCCAGTATTTCAGATTGGTTTTTCCTCAGCGTTTCTATCTCTCTATTGAATTTCTCTTCTATCTTGAATCACTTTTATTTCATTCAGCTTTTTGTGTTCTCAGTCAAGAGCTTATATTCTTTGAACATACTTATAATATTGTGTTCTCTGGGATTTCATCTAATTCATTCTTGCTAGATGCTATTACTATAGGAGTAGTAATTTTTGGAGGAGTTATACTGTCTTGGTTTTTGTGTGTTTCTTAAGTTACTCGGTTGAGACTTATGCATCTGGTGTTATTTTTTTTTTGGTTCAATTTTTAACCAGTTCTGTTTTTTCAGTTGAAGTATTTACAATGTTCATGTGGGGTTTGGATGTGGTAGAGCTGAGTATATGTGTAGTTCAGAAAACAGTTCCTCAGTCCAGGAATTCAGGGCTCTTGGTACACGCTCTATAGTATTACTTGAATAGGGAATTAAATAGGAGAGCCACTACACATGCTTGGTATTACTGCCATGCAAATGTCACACCAGTGAATTATTAACGGTGGTCTCTTTAACTTCAATAGCTATTGAAACAAGAATAGCATGGGTATACTCAGACTTTAGTTAATACGATTAGGATCGATAGGGAAATAATGTAGGTGAGGCTAGGGATAAATAAAAAAAATATTGAGGTGGGTAAAGTAGCTGGGAAGGGAAAGCTGGCTGGGATACTGTTTGGGTCCACAGATCTTAGTGATGATTATTAAAAGAAGTAAAAAGAGGCTGAACATGGTAGCACACACCTTTAATCCCAGTCCTCAGGAGGCAGAGGCAGAGGCAGGTGGATCTCTGTGAGTCTCAGGCCCTGTTCTGCATATTGAATTCCTATTGAATTCCAGGCCATTCAGGGTTACTAACTGAGATCCTGTCTAAGGAAACAAACAAACAAGAAAATAAACAAAAGATGAAAAGCACAGTGGAGAGGATAATAAAAAGAAGATGGGACATTGGAACCAGGTGGGAAATATGAGTTGTGGTTGTACAGTAAAGAATAAACGGATGGAGAAAATAAACAGCAGTTCTGGTTCCGCCTTCTCTCTCCTAGCACGCCATGCTGTTGATGATAAGTGATGGCAGAAGCTGGAAGTGATCAGAAAGTTCTAGTTCTACAACACTGTTCTGTCATTACGGGGGGGGGGGGGGAGGGGGGGAGGGTACCTTTCTGCTATAAGTTCTTCTTGGATTATGACCCTAACTGAGCATGTCAGATGTGTGTGTATGTTAAATTGAGCATGCACTGGTTCAGGCCCTTCCCAAATGCCTCCCCCAGATGAATGTTTAGGCCTCTAGCAATTTCTCACCCTTTCTTTGTTTTTTTTTGTTTGTTTGGTTAGTTGGTTGGTTTTTGGTTTTAGTTTTTCGAGACAGGATTTCTTTTCTCTGTATTGTTTTGGAGGCTGGTCTGTAGACCAGGCTGGCCTTGAACTCACAGAGATCCACCTGCCTCTGCCTCCCGAGTGCTGGGATTAAAGGCATGCGCCACCAACATCCAGCCACCCTTTCTTTGTTTGAGGTGAGCACTATGCTCCCTTGCCTGTAGGTGATAAAAATCCTTCACGGTTGTATCTTCACTGTGATTTTAAGTCTTGCACCGGAAGCTACTCACGCAGCCACAGCTAAGATGCTGGTGCTAAGCTTGCTTCTTTGGTTGTTTTTTTTTTTTTTTTCCATTTTACTCAGCCCAGGACCCCAGACCATGGATGGTGCAACTGATTTTCAGTGCAAGTCTTCCCCGCTCAGCTCAGCTTTTCTAGAAACACCCTCACAAGACACATTCAGAGGTGCGATAGCTTGTGAGTCTAAATTTACAGGGTTTGATGATAATCACACACATTACTGACTAGGAAAGCTCATGCCTTAGGATTCCTATTGCTGTGATGAACACCATGACCAAAGTCAACTCAGAGGAGAAATAGTTAATTTTATCTTCAGCGCTCAGGTCACACTCTATCACTGAGGAAAGTCAGGGCAGGAGCCTGGAGATAAGAACTGAAGCAGAGGCCATGGAAGAACACTGCTTGCTGGCTTGCTTCTCATGCCTTGTTCAGCATACCTTCTGATACAACCTCTTCCCAGGGGTAGCACTGTTCCCCATGGGCTGGGCCCCTTCACATCAACCTGGATGGAGGCATTTTTCTCAACTGGGTCTCCCTTTTACCAAATGACTAAAGCGTTGGTTAAGTTGACAAGATGACCAGCCAATGAAGTAAGAAGAGAAACAGTACTGATAAAAATACAAACCCCTTTCCACAAATAAATAAATAGATAGATAGATAAATACATTCAACTTGTATAATGCCGGGTAACACCTGAGACAGACTTGGGCGGGGGGTGGGGGTGGGAGGGGTGGGGGTGGGGGGGTGGGAAGGCTCTGTGTTGACTAAGCATCCTGTCATGTAGCCTGTGGACCTCAATCTGAGGCCCTGCCATAGATATTAACACCACAAGAACGGTCTTCCTTGTGGGGTGGCAGGAGAGCAGAAGCCCACATCCGGGCTCCGTCCGCACCTCATTTTAGAACTCCCCAGCAGAGGGCAGTCTGAGCTCACGTACCATCTTCCCGGCCACTGGTTTAGTCGACAGGGTAGACGGACACCTAGTCCCTCTCACTCCCCACTGAAGCTTGGGCATGATGCCCACTTGCTGGCGGCAGCAGCAGCAGCAGCAGCAGCAGAGAAACAGGATGCACAAGGTTGGGTAAAAAGGTTGTTTTGAGTTCTCCCTAAGCCTAGCAGATGCCCGGCCTTGGCATCCTGCTGCGCTCCCCCATCTAGGATCCTGGACTGAAGGCTCATCTCCCCGTCATCTCAGTGCAGGCTGATCACTGTTTCCATTCACAGCTCAGCATCTGTTTCTCTGGAGCACAGACTCCCAGAGCCTCAGCGGTGGGAGGGGCTCCGCTGCTGTCCGTCCAAGCTGGCTTTTCAGACGACTGCGAAGGGCAGGTAGGGGGTCGTACATTGGGAACCTGTCTTAGAGTAAGATGGTGGCAGCTATATTAAACGAAGGAGGTGAGTCTTGTTTTTCTAGGAAATGTGACAGGGGGTGGTAGTGGTCGTGGTAGTAGTTGGATGAATGGATCAGTGATCAAAAGCACTGGCTGTTCTTCCAGAGGACCGGGTTTGACTTGCAGCATCCACGTGGCAGCTCACTACCGTCTGGAACTCCAGTCCCAGGGGATCTGATGCCTTCTTCCGGCCTCTGGGACAGTAGGCACACACTACATAGACATACATATAGGCAAACAAAACAAAACTATAAAATTACTTTTAAAAATTGGGGAGGATTTGGAGGAGATGGGGAGGGGAAGAATGTGATCAAAATATATTATGTCAACAATTTTTAATTTATAAAAAGAGAGAAATGTGGCAATGGTTGAGTTGCATCACTGGTTACCAATTATCTCACTAGAACCCACCCAGCGGTCCTGGTGCCTTGGGGGTAATGGGTGAATGCTAACCCTGAAATAGCTGGCTATGGCTTGGACTTCTAGCTGTCTGACTGGTGGCCGCTGATTAATCTTAGATTGCCTCATTTCCTTCCTCAGCCAAAGAACTCTTCAGCCCCTCCTAGGACTCAGGGCACTCCTTTTCCTTAGTGAGTCACAGCCTCCAAACCTACCGTGGACAGCATGACTCCAGGGCAAGAATCCTTCCCGCTCCTGCTTTTTCCGACAAACACCTCCCCTGGCGGTACTCCACTCCTTCGGCCAACACCCTATACCTCAAACTAGCTTCCTAGACATGTTATATACACCTTGAAATGGGATCGGAAGGGTCCAGAGGACCGCCCATCTGCAATTCCCAAAGCTCATAAGGACACCGGGTAGAGGCACTGTCTGAGTTAGGGTTACTCCTCCTGTAACGAAACGCCATGACCAAGGCAGCCTGGGGAGGAAAGGGTTCGGTTCACTCGCAGTTCCATAGAACAGCTCATCATAAAAGCAGTGAAGGCAGGAACCTGGAGGTTCCATGCAGGGGTGCTGCCTTGGCTTGCTCCTCATGACTTGCTCATCCTGCTTTCTTATAGAACCCAGGACCACCAGCCCAGGGATGGCTCCACCCACATAGGCTGGGACTTCCCCTATCAATCGCTAACTAAGAAAATGCCCCACAGGCTTGCCTACAGCCTGAACTTTCTTAATTGAAGCTCCCTCCTCTCAGATGACTTCAGCTTGTGTCAAGCTGATGTGAACTCGCCAGCACAGGCTCAGAGGGTGGCTTTCAGGGCCACGTGCACAGGTCTCGGGGATGCTGCATGTGCTGGCAGAGGCCTTACAAATGGCTTTTCAGAAGCCAGTGTGTGTTGGCATTGTGTCCACCTCCAGGAGAATGAGCAGGCCAGAGCCTGGTCGTGGATGCTTCTCTTAGTGTTCAGGCGTCTGCACTGGCCTGTCCTTAGGGTTCTGACAGATTCCACCCTAAGCTGCGGCCACTAAGAGCACATTCAATACATTCCCTTTTAAAAGGGTCCTGCCCCCTCCTCTCTCTGTCTCTGTCTCTGTCTCTGTCTCTGTCTCTGTCTCTCTCTCTCTGCCTGCTTTTATGTCTCTCCTTCTCTTCCCCGTCTCTGCCTCTCTCTTCTCTTCTACTACTCCTGTCCCCAAAGGCCAGTCTCCCCCTCTCCCCTTCCCCCCCTTCCCATTCACTTTCCCCCAATTAAAAAAAAAAACCCTCCACCCAATTTCTGTTGAATGGTGTCTTTTCTCTCAAAGGCCACTTTTTAAAATTACAAGTTTCCTTGGCCTCCTGAGTAGCTGGGATTGGGCTCTGGCTGCATAACAGATTGAGGTCTCAGGCCTGTATTTGGAACAGAGCTAGCCCTGGGAAGAATGTCATTTCCTTGTCACTATGACTAACTCCAGTGAGGATTAACACATAACAAATCCCTTTGTCGTGGGCTCTTGCTTGTCCAGCTCCTTCCAGCCAGCAGATGTAGGATGTGGTGGTGGTGGTGGTGGTGGTAGTGGTGGTTGGGGTGATGGTGGTGGTGGTGGTGAGGCAGTCCTGAAAAACTAGTCTTGAAAGAAATTACCTCAAGAATACCTCCTAGGGGAAGAAGTAAGAGCGTGTACCTATTTGTTCAAGGAAAAAGGAACAGAAATAGAAAGGAGGGGAAAAGCGAAGACTAATGAGATTAGCCTCCTGCAGGGCACGGCAGAGACAGGATGGGAAGGATGAAATGGATGAGGCAGGAACAGGACTTCTCTAGACGGAGCCTTTTGTTTCAACCCACTGAGGAGCCACTGCAAAATTACATTTTAAATGAAATAAAATTTGAAAGGAGACGGAGAACCCTAAAATCAATGAACAGAAATAAATTTTAAAAAATGTCCTTTGACCGTCATCTTATCACTTTATAGTGAAAGTAACTAAACTTTTATTATTATTAACAACAATTAGGCAATTAATTAATCTCTGTCATCCTTAAGTGACTAGTGCTGTGCCTACTTCGACCCGGGCAGGGATGGATCACGGTGATTTAAAAGCCTTCTAAAGGTACCCAACAACTGAGCCCAGGTGTTCCGTCAGTCAGAACTCAGCTCTGAAACCATATTATTTACTCAGCTCTGGGACAGGCAGAGAGGCTGAGTTAAGTGTCCCTCAGGTCCCAGGAATCCATGAGTTCAGTGACAAACATAGAACAACATGAAGGCACACAGAAGGGGACAAATGATTCCTTCTATCACCCATAAATACTTCAGTGCTATAAGGATCTTATGAATTCTGAGAGTTCTTTGTGGGTTGGCTTCTTGAAAGATAAGGGGTTTGAGATAATCCTTGTTGGTAGGATTCAGACAGGTACAGGAAAAAAGATGAGGGAAATCCAGAACTCACTGAGAGCAAGAGAGGAGCTTTAGCAGAGAGTGAAGAGTAGGTATTACTGCAATACAAATATGTGTGTGTGTGTGTGTGTGTGTGTGTGTGTGTGTGTGTGTGTGTGTATCCCTTATATCTTCAATCATATATGACTTTCCAGGGACCTCTTAGAGTCATATATATTCTCATAGGAGGAAGAAGTCCATGGGAGGCTGGAGCAGTTGTTGAGTTCTCGTCCCCAGATGTTACACTTCAGTAACTACATCTTGGTAATGGGTATTTGCCCTCCCCCTTTCCAATGACTGTTCAGTAACTACCTAGGAAAAGGCAGACACACAGCACTCTGCATGCACAAGCTGAAAACAGACTTTGCATAAGGGAGAGAGAATATGCTCGCTCCTTTGGTTCTTTTCATTCTTTTCTTTCCTCTCTAATATCAGAGCTGAGAAACAGAAGTAGGAAGACAGGCCACACCCTGTTTGCAAAGCAGGAAAGCAAAGTTCTCCGTCCTGCTGTGTTTTCCTTCAGCCAACCTGTCTGCAGCCCCAGGTGTGTCAGGAGAAGCGCTGGCAGAAAACACTTCATCTTCCTGTGCCCTCCCGACCGTGCTGTGGCTCAGCAGGGAAAACAGAAAATGAGAAGAGCAAGAAAGCAACAACAGCTAGCTTCATGTTGCACAGGACTAAGCTGAGCCTGCTAACCAGAGGCCTGCTAACCAGAGGCCTGCTAACCAGAGGCCTGCTAACCAGAGGCCTGCTAACCAGAGGCCTGCTAACCAGAGGCCTGCTAACCAGAGGCCTGCTAACCAGAGGTCAACACTGGGTCTAGCTAGACAGCAAGACAGAAGAAGAAAATCTAAATATAGATAATTCCTATCAGACCATTGGGCTCATTGTGTCCTGCATCTTATCACAATTGTTATTGAAGTAAGTCTGAAAAAGTCTTGGGATGGAAACAAAGGTAACATCTGGCCTTGGAGTCGCTGTCCTCCACTGTTCCACCCCCTTCCCTTCAAAACAGACAAACACATATACCCACCCACATCCCTAAGAAGATAAAGCCAGTGTCTGCTGCTCCCTTTTGTTCTTTCCATTCCCGTCTGTTCCCAAAGCTCTGTATCTTTCCTCACGCATCCATGGTAAGGTCTTGATAGCAGCTACAGCCATCAGGCCTGGGGCTGTAACTTAGTATCCATGCATCATCAAGAACATACTTTTTGCCGGGCCATGGTGGCTCACGCCCTTAATCCCAGCACTCGGGAGACAGAGGCAGGTGGATCTCTGTAAGTTCGAGGCTGGGCTGGACTGACAGCCTCCATAGAAACCCTGGCTCGTAAAAAAAAAAACAAAAAACAAAAAAAACCATACTTTTTTCCTTCCTCCCCCAGCCAATGTCAGAAGCAGCCACAGGGCCCAAAGGTGGTGGTTTCTCCCGTGACACCCCTTAGACAGTGTGGTGTTTACATCCTGTCCTGGTGGTGTGTTTGTCCCCCTCCCTCTCAACCAGAGCTTTCCAAGTGCAGTAGCCAAATTTTGTTTTTCACTTTCTCCCAGCCAAAGACACAGCTCTGATAATATTTGTGTAATATTTGAGGCATGGATATTTTCCTTTAAACCAATATTTTAAAAACTTTCTTAGCCTCCACCCACACTAAGAAATACATTTTATATTATCAACAGTTTGCACAGACAGACAGACACACACACACCTGTAACACAACTTTCAGTTAAGAATACTTACAATGTTGGATGCACTCTGGTATTTTCTTTATTTCATTCTTTATAAGGCTGCCTGTTGTGGGTTTGGAGATGCAGCTCAGTGATACAGCACTTGCCCAGCAAACATGAGACCCTAGCACCAAAACCAAAAGGTGCTTGTTGGGACTTGGAGGTAGAAAGCTCTGTCCTAAATCTCACAGGGATACTCTGTCATTGCTAAACTGAGAAGAGCTTCGCATCAGAACCTGATCAGATTAGAATTAAGCTGTATACATATGGCCAGTTCTGCTTTGCAGACTGGGAAGTTGGTCTCATTACAAATAAGGAGCCCCTCTGGGGATTTATTGACAGTTAGAAATTAAGAAAATAAACCTAGACTTCAGAAACGGGGCACATACAATGGGGCTCTGGAACGGCAGGAGGTGATTCGACAGTCAAAGGGAATAATGGCTGGTATAAGCAGCCCTTTTGAGTTAACCCACCCCTCCTGTCTAGGACAGCCTCACCCTGAGCAAGAGGAGAAAGGGATGCAGGGGTGGGGAAGGATGTTCCCATCTCCCATCCCAGGATAGCACCATTCCAGCTATAAAGGCTTGTAACTGTCAAAATAGCATCATAAAACACAATTGATAGCAAATCATGAGATTACACTGCAAAATGTTGTCATGATTCTGCTTGTCTATGAGAACAGTGGCCACACATAGAGAAAGTAGCAGACATGGCGGGCTGCATTCTTGCCTCTGGTTAGCGGGCGTGCCACCTCCATAGGAAAGCTGATGAGAAGGCCCCAGCTAGGATCTGCAGAGTCTCACATTCCTGGGTCTTTGCTCACTCAATCTTGTCAAATGCTTTCTAGGATAGCATTGTGCTGGGTGTCAAGGGGATAACATCCGGCTGGAGAGATAACTCAGCGCTTAAGAGCACTGACTGCTCTTCCAGAGGACTTGGATTCAATTCCCAGCACCCACATGGTGGCTCACAGTTCTCTGTAATTCCACTTCCAGGAGATCTGATGCCTTTTTCTGACCTCCACAGACGTAGAATACATGATGCACAGACATGCATACAGGCAAAAACACTCATACACAGTTTTAAGAAAATCTCCAATGAAGGAGGAGGAAGGTAATTGCATTTTTTTGAGGCAGGATCTTATGTAATCCTGGGTGATCTTGAACTGTGTAGCCCAGGATGACCTTGAGCTTCTGCTCCTCCTGCGTCTACCTCCCAAGTGCTAAGATTATAGTCCCACAGCACTAAGCCCGGTTTATTTGGCTCTGGAGTCGGGCTTGATAATTTGTACAGTTTCAGCAAGCACTCTACCAACTAACTGCGTTCTATCCCCAACCCTGGTCATTTAATCTTTACACTGAATTTGAGGGGGTAGGTTGGACTGTTGTTCAGAGTATTTTCCTATCCCACTAATGTGAAGACATGGGTTCAATGGCAGACAACACACACACACACACACACACACACACACAGAGCAACTTTGTAAATTAAAAACAAAACAAAAACTTAACTACTTACCTAGTGTTGTTTTTTCTTTTTTTTTTTTAAGAGAGAGTAGTTATGACCCATTTTCAATAGATTGTGCTCCTCAGAATTAGTGTGTCGAGCCTGACTCCAAATATGGTGACATCAGAAGGCAGGCCTGGAGAGTACTGATTTGACCATAGGTGGACCCTTCATGCATAGGGTCAATGCTCTTAGAAGAGACTCTCAGAAAGTTCCCTTGATCTTCCGTCATGTGAACAAAGCATGAGGATGTACACAAATCTGTGGGCACCCTGATCCTGAGCTTCCCAACTTCTTATGAGGGATGCATTTCCGTTGCTTCTAGGTCACAGATGAGGGTAGCCCATGTCCCCAAGTGCCTATGGTTTTCACTTCAGGAGGTAAAGTGGGATGACCTTGACCCATGGAATAAAGAGATCCTGAGCTGACTGGAGCTCTCTGGCCCAGGATTCTTCCAGTTTAGGAGGAAGCAGTCTCTTCTAAGCCTTGGGTTCTCATCTTCAGAATTCAGGTAGCTTCTCTGTTGCTCAAGATTACCATAAGAAGGAACCAGGGGATAGGCTGGGAAGCAGGCAATATTTCTGAGAAAGTTAACCTTTTTCTAATTTTATGAATGGTGGTACTCAGTGAATAATTATGGGGGAAACCGACAAGATGAAAAAATTCTAAGGTTGCCTTTTGCTAAATAACTATTCATGGCTGCTTCAGGGCACAGAAGGGAGTGGTGGTAATAGCAAGCCAGGCTGGGCACAGTAGACATTTTCCCCCTTGTGAAGCAATGGAAAATAAAGCCGACGGATAGAAGGCCCAGTCATGGAAAGCCCTGGCTAGACAAAGTCATCTGGATTGTATCCCACAGGCAATGGTAGAAAATAATGGCTTAGAAGACCGCACAGACAGTTTCCAGTGGGAATGTAGAGGCTGGGAAACAGCTGGAGGTGTCAACGGATGAGTGGCTGGTCTCAGAGGACAGTGCAATAAGGACAGGAGACACCAGTCTCTCCTGGGTGCCTGGCTTCCGTGTCTTCTCGCACCTCCCTCGTCTGCTTTCTCCTCCTGTTCGTCTTCCGTCCCCACAGCCCACACCAGTCCCACCCCCTTCTACCAGTTAAGTCAGCGTGCTGATGGCACTTAGCAAATGCTTAGGATGATCAAAATGTTGCCAGCGGGAGCTCCTGGGCAATCTCTGGCTGGCTGCCTTTGAGTGGGTCATGAGCAGAGGAGGGGCAGGCCCACCCTTTCTTTAGTGAGACCGGCAGCTCGGACTCTACCGACCGCACGCTCCAGAGCCCTTGGCAGCACCTGACACGAGGTGCGGTGCAGCTGGCTGGGTGAGAAGAGAAGCTGACACCTCTGAACTAGCTGAGGGCCGCCGCTTCTTCCTCCTGATGAGGAGGAAAGCAGGTCACCCTGCACCCTGCCAGACACTGAGGGACACCAATGCCTCTGGAATGGCTGCAGGCATGACATCTCAACGAGGAAGTAAAACTGGTGATTCATAGCCCATCCTAGCTGCAGAAGGGTTGGGTCTGGTCACCCTGGGGCCTTCCACCTTCTAATAGATACCTTCCTCGGTACTTCACTTATTGGTCTTCTTGTCTGGCCCTGAGCATATGAATTTGCTAATCCCTGCTAAGTCGTCTGTGCTCTGACTGCAGGGCCCAGAGATGCCACTTCAGTATTTCTCTGGGTCAGCTAAATAAGTGCATGGGTAAAGAGAGTGGACCAACCAGACCCAGTGGCAGGGGTAGATACTGTGTTTTAGAGTTAAACTTGAACAAGAAGATCCCAGGGGGACAGATGCAAGGATAAAGGATGGGAGGTCCTCATCATGGGTTACAGACCATAGAATGGACCGAGGATGACAAAGGCACATGGGATGTCTACAGAATTGGGTCACCCAGCACCCAATCGTCCAGGAAGAGAGGCAGGAGTGAGAGTGGAAGGAGGCAGTAATCTGGGTGAAACCGAAGGAAGCAGAACGCTGGGATGTGGGGTTCAAAGAGCAGTGGGGCCGGAAGTCGTCTCACTGGGAGATACAGATGCCACTCTGGCTATTCCATCAGGCGGTCCTGAGAGGGCTGCTGCTTGGAGTCACTGAGACATTGTTGAGTTACTATACTACAGTTGCTGGAAAAGCTATATAGCTTGTATTCAGAATGATGAGAGGATGCTGGGTGGTGGTGGTGGTGGCACACGCCTTTAATCCCAGCACTCAGGAGGCAGAGGCAGGCAGATCTCTGTGAGTTTGAGGCCAGCCTGGTCTACAGAGCTAGTTCTAGGATAGCCAAAGCTACACAGAGAAACCCTGTCTCAACCCCTTACCCCACCCCCCAAAACCAAAACCAAAATGGTGGGAGGAGACACAGGCTTGGTGGAAATGTGCCTGGAGGTGGTGATTTCAGCACAGCCAGATTAGGTGAGACTCTACAATGAGACTGAGACAGTGAGGCCCAGCAAAGGGAATGCTATGGACTTGGATAGGTGGAGAGCTCACAGAAGTCGTTGGAGATCATGTTAAAAAGGAGCCTGGTTTAGGCTGAAGAGACAGCTCAATGGGCAAAAATGCTCACCTTACAAATGTGAGGACCTGAGTTTGATCCCCAGTACCTGTGTAAAAACAGGGGCATGATAGTGTGCACTTCTAATCCCATTGCTGGGAGGCAGAGGTGTGAGCCTCCCTGGGATTCAGCTGGCTAGCCAGCCTCACTGAACCAGTGAGTTTCAGGCCTGACGTGTATAAACACACACACACACACACACACACACACACACACACACACACACACACACAGGGAACTTCATCAGACTGGAGTGTTTGGATGTGGAAGGTCATATGGGTCTCAGCGGGTGGAGAGGCAGGAAGGCAGGGTGGATAGGGACCACTATCTCAGGGAACCTGCGGTAGAAAAGGGTTGAAGTCAGAATACAGGCAACTTAGAGGTGCTTTGAGGTGAAATAGGGTACAGTGAGAGAAGT